GTTTGTGCATAACACCCAGTGCTCCATGCAGAACGTGCCCTCCTCAATACCCACCACCAGGCTAACCCATCCTCCCAACCCCCTCCCCTCCAGAACCCTCAGTTTGCTTTTCAGAGTCCATCGAATGACAGTCTTTTAAAACCTCTGGGTACTTCCCTCTGACCACCCTTATCTCTTCTTTCTTCTCCCTTTAATCTAGCTAGACACAACATCCTCACTGCCGGGTTTCCCTCTCCAAATGCTGTCTGTGAGCATTGTTCACTAAGGTTGACACATTCCCTTACTCTGTCAATCAGGCTTCAGGTAGGGAAGCAGGGCCACTATGAGAATTTGGATGTAATGAATTTATTACCAGAATTAGAGTGTACACAACTGAGAAAATTGAGAAAGTAAAGATCCAGAAACAGGAGTTGACAAGCCAGTATTTAGTAACCAGCTCTGGTATGGGTTGGAGCTTGTGGGGATGTCTGAAAGCTAGGAACATTGAAGACCACTTAGGAGGTCTGCGTAGAAGTCTACAGGAGGTTGTTGGTTCTTCATACCTGCTGTACCCCTGTAGACTGTCACTGAAACATCTGGAATGAGCCCAGGGTTACCCTTGTTGAGCAAGCCAGCCAGCAGCTGAGAAAGGGAACTGAATGCAGATTGGGGAAGGGTAAGACAAACTGGAACATGCTGGTCCCTCTGTGTCTGTTTCACCTCTCAAATCTCTAGCACTTCAGTTTTGGCCACCTTTAACCTAGAAACATAGAGGAAAGGATTTCCCGGAAATGTAGTCTCCAGGATGACCATATTGGTGATAGAACCATCTACCATACTTACCCGTCTTGCCAGCCCACTGCCACCTTTACCACTCATATCATGATGTAGTACATAAAATAGACAATCTTTGATAACCTGTCCCATGCTATTCTTTGCCTAGCAGATGTTCCCATTTGTTACTTTTCTTTTACATTTGAGAGAGTCAAACAGTACATGACAAAGAAAGGAAATGTGTTTATTGTCTTGAGTTGTCTCCTTTTATCATTCACTTCTGGGAGCTTCTCAAGGGTATAAGGCCAGGGATCAATCATGGCTTTTGTGATTTTTTTTTTTTTTTACTCTGGAATGTACCACTCATCTCCCCTGTCTCCACTCATATCAAAGAAAGGGAGCAAGGACCTGGTTCTGACTTCTTAGCATCATTGCCCCAGCAAAATCCAAGTTATCTAAATACAGTATGTTAAGAAGGAAATTATATGCGTTAGATCCTTGCATGACTTTAGAAATGGACTTCAGGCTAGAAGTATACACACTCCTTAGTTAGAAATGATAAAGTCACATAAGGTAGGTGAACCATGAACTCTTCAGTTTTGTTATGTTTTTTTAAAGGCTAAATAGTTAAAGAACATGAGGCAAAGCCTATTTAAAACTCATTGGTAGAATCTCAGTAGTGACTGAGATCATTTGAATTTGTTTACAATGGCACCCATATGGGATCAGTTAGTAATCCTTTTGACTGTGTTCCAACAATAGCAAACCAAAATTTTTAAAAAGGTTTATTAAATTTATTTTTATGCTATAGATTACAGATGTTGTAGAACAATACATCCCAGTATGCCTAAATCTTTTACAAAGTTTTTAAAACCCCTTAAACATAGAAAATACACATTAAATAAATCAAATCCAGTACTGTCCTAACAGTATCAAGCATGAAAGCATTTGTAATTAAAATGAGCTTAAAGACACAGGGTTTGAGGGCATCACTAAATCCAATACATAATTCTTCCATTTAGTTCCATGAGACTTTGGCAAGTGTTTAATAGGCAAAGAGGTAAGAAATGCAATGATAA